CATAATTCTCCATGTCCTACTTATTCCAGCTTGACTATCACAATGTATACATATTTATGTCAACTATTTGGGCAAAAAAGAATACCTTTTAAGAGATTTTGCGGTCATTCAACTTCTTCTCGGCCTCATCCAGAGTGATAAACTCAGATTCCGTTATAGAGCGAGCGATACATGTATGTTAGGATGATTTTTAGAAGACTTCTCCTCCACCGAGAGTAAATACATATGCACTCATGGTCTTTACTTCATTTGACTCGTGATCCAATTTGCATTTCTATATCCTTCCATTACTGTTGGATATTTGTTATGATTCAAAACATAGTTTTAAGTATATTTTAACTACCCCAAAACTTTTTTCATTGTAATCCAATGATTTTATTAGGATTACTCATGAACCTAGTGAGTTTACTAATAATGCATGATATATCTGACCGCATACAATTCATGATATACAACATAATTAAGTGAAAAAACTCATAGTTATTGAAGTCTTGACAATATTGAAATTCAAATACTTGAACTTGTCAAGTATCTTTTCAGTATCATGACTATGACAATGCTAAATCTTGTGGAGTTCTAAGGATTTTTGTACCTAAGATCACATCAACAACTCCAAGGTCTTTCATATCAAAGTTTCTTTCTAGCTTATGCTTAGTATCATTTATGCCATAAGTGTCTCTACTGATGATCAACATATCAATGACCTTGATGTTAACACATTTATCACATTCATTAATCTTAAATCTATTTCCCAACATGGTTTGATCAAACTTCGAATGTCATTGTTTGAGTACCTGTTTTAGTCTATAGAGTGACTTAACATGTTTGCACACTTTCTTTTCTTTATTAGGAACCAAAAAGTTTCTTCCTCCAATTCTTCATTTTAAGAAAGTTATTCTCACATCCATTTGATGAATTTGAAGGCCATATACCGCAGGTAGTGCAATTAACATCTAAATTAATGTAATCTTAGTTACTAGCGACTATGTATCAAAATAATCAAGACCTTCTTTTTGTCTAAAGCCTTTAACGACAAGTCTAGCTTTTATATTTATCAATAGTTCCACGAGCTTTTTTTTTTTAGGATCTACTTTGAACCCAAAGATTTATTTCATGAAGGATGATCTACCTATTTCCAAATATGATTGCCCAAGATTGAATCAAAATCTCCCCATTGACAACCTTTAAAAAGGACGAGTCTATAAAAGACAAATCTTCTTGGAATGTATGAGGCTCATTTTCAAGAAGAAATGTTACAAAATCATATCTGAAAAAAGTAAATATCTTTTGACATTTACTACACCTTGAAATATCTTTATTAAGTACATTCTCCTTTGTTTCTTCCTGATGTCGTTTAAGATCCTTTACTAGAAAACACAACTCTAATTTATATGTATAAATGTGTTCAAATAATTCAGTGTTATCTGATTCAATTATCATATTATAATGAATATTTAGATGTTCAGACTTATGAACTAAAAATCGACATGCTTTACTATTTGTAGCATATCCAATGAAAGCATAATCCACATACTTAGGTCCTATTTTGATCTTTTGGGATATGAACTTGAACTTTGGTTAGACACACTCACACTTTGAAATATTTTAAGTTGAGTTTTCTTCCTTTTCATTTCTCATATGAAATATATTGTCTTACTATAGGGCACTCTATTGAGTATTCGTTTTGCGGTAAGGATAACTTCCCCCACAAGTTTTATGGTAAACCTAAACTACTAAGTAAGACATTCAACATTTCCTTCAAAATTCATTTATTTTGCAGAATTCCATAAGATTGAGGTGAGTAAGGGGAAATAGTTTGATGGATGATTTCATTTTCTAGGAATATTTTTGCGAAAGGAGATTCATACTCTCCACCCCTATCACTTTCTATCTTTTTTTTTATTCAACTTATTTTCAACTTTAGTTTTATATTACATAAATTCTTCTATTGTTTCATCTTTACCATTCAACAAATAGACATAACAATATCTTGTGCAATTGTCAATAAATGTTATAAAATACTTTTTTCCACCATGAGATGGTGTTGACTTCATATCACAAATGGTTAGTGTGAATCAACTCTAAGGGATCAAAATTTCTTTCAACAAATTTATAAGAATACTTAGCATACTTAGATTCAACACAAACTTGACATTTTTATTTATTGTACTCAAAGTTAGAAAAAACTTCTAAGTTGCTAAGTTTTCACAAGATTTTGTAATTGACATGTCTCAAACGTTCATTTCATATACAGCTTGACTCAAGCAAGTAAGAAGAAGTAGAAATATTGTGCTTGAGAAGACCCCCTGTCATGTAACTTTTTCTTACAAATATTTTGTTCTTACTTATTATACCTTTGTCACATACAAACATTGTTTAGAGTCAGAACCATGTCAGATGTCATTTTCAAAAGGTCCTTTTCATAACCTTCCATTTTAGTTGTTGTGGAATTACTATTGAGCATAGTGAGACTGAGGAGCTGTTATATGAGTTAGTTAGGATGAACAGTAAATGTCATGAAGTTAGTTAGCTGTTAGTTACTAGTTAAATTGTGGCTAGTTTATAATTAACTAGACTAGATGGTTAAAGTAGATCCAATTATACACACTATATATAGTGGTGTCGATATTTTGTAAAGAATAATTCTGTACTGAATATTCAATACATTTTCAGTTTCTCTTCTTCTTCATAATCGCTCTTCACATTGTTATCATGGTATCAGAGCTTCAGGGACTCCATTGACGATCTCTGTTTTTCAGTGCAGTAGATAGCTTGTTGTATTGTAAACAAAGGCAGATCGTGGAAAAGGCTTGAAGTTTCAGTTTACAACAATGGCACCTGATCCTAATCCAGAAATCACTTCCAGTTCTATGCAAGGAGGACAAATTGTAATTGATGCACATCATCCCTTACATCTTCAAGCTTGCGACACTCCAGATAGTTCTCTGGTTTCTATTCAGTTGACTGGATCTAAAAATTACGCTTTATGGAGTAGATCAATGAAAATAGGTCTACTAGGTAAAGGTAAATTGGGATTTGTTGATGGCAAATGCCCTAAGAGTTCATTTCCTGCTTCACTTCATGATCTATGGGAGAAATGTAATGCCATAGTACTCTCTTAGATCATGATATCTGTTGGTAGGGAGTTACTTAGTGGTATAGTGTATGCTAGCAATGTTCAGCAGGTGTGGAATGATTTAAAGGAAAGGTTCGACTAAGTAGATGGTTCTAGAATTATTTTTTCTCCACAAAGAGATTGCTACTCTGACTCAAGGAGTATTATCAGTCTCTAGCTATTACTCTAAGCTCAAGGAGCTTTGGATGGAGTTTGATTCCCTTATGTCTTGTCCTGGTTGTGCATGTGAAGTGTCTAAGACCTATGTTGTTCATTTCAAATATCAAAGGTTAATGCAATTTCTTCTAGGGTTGAATGAATCCTATAATCAGTGTCGAAGTCAAATCATGATGATGGATCCTACACCAGGTGTGAACAAAGCTTACTCATTAGTAATGGCTGAAGAGTGTCAGAGAGTACTTGGTAAATCGAATATAGTAGGGACTGAAGGCATTAGCTCTATTAATTCTAGGCAATTGACTGAAGCAATGGCATTTTTCAGTAATGGGAAGGGGTTTACTAGATCAGGAGGACCTACAATCCAGTTTGGAGGATCTACTCAGTCTGGATCAAGTTTTAGACCTCAGAAATCCCTTAACAACAATATGTATTGTGATTATTGCAACTGGAAGGGCCACACTAGAGCTGTGTGTTTTAGATTGTATGGGTACCCTGCTAACTGGAAAGGTAAGAGGAGGACTAGCCCTGGTCCTATCACTGCTGCCAACCTTGTAAGAGCAAATTCTCCTAGCAATGGTAATGCTAGTTTCATGGATTTCCAGTCTAGTTCAGGGTCTCCTGGTCAAGTTTTTACTACTGGGAACAGTTCAGGCAACTATCAGATTCATCAACCTCCTTCGTTATTAGAAGGTACTTCCTACTCAAATTCTTCCCCTGCTCTTATGACTAACATGCAGCCCTACCAGTATCAGACTACATAGTGGCCATATCTAGTGCAACAGCCATCTCCTCATCAATACATGCAAATGCCACTGGAACTTGAGAAGACTACCAGTAATGCTGCTGGAAGAGCATCAGGTATGTTAAACTGTTTTATTCATCCAAATGTTGTTGACAAATGGATAGTAGATTCAGGAGCCTCCAAGCATATGGTCAATGCTCTTCACTTGTTAACTCACTTTATTACTCTCCATGATTCCCTTAAGGGTAAAGTGCACTTACCTACTGGTAGTTTAGCTAAGGTCAGTCATATTGGTTGTTCTCAGATACTTGGAGGGATTGAGATCACCAATGTACTGTATGTTCTTGAGTTCAAGTATAACTTTCTCTCTGTGCCAAAGTTAACTAAGGAGTTAAATTGTTGTGTTCTTTTCTATCCTAATCACTGTGTATTTCAGGATCTCTCTAGTGGGAAGGTGAGGGGGATTGGCAAGTTGGAGAATGATTGGTATGTTCTTCAAGCTGATTGTCAGTTGAAGTCACAAGCAACAGTTTCTTTGTCATCAGCTTATGCAGTTTCCACTCCTACATCATGTGTCTCACCACCTACTATAGCTCCTGTTAACAAAAATGTCTCTCTATGGCATAAACGGCTTGGCCATGTTCCATTTACTACTCTTAAAATGCTTGGATGTTTCAAATCATTGTCTTTCAAGTCTGATACAATTTGTACTGTATGTCCCTTAGCTAAACAGTCAAAACTTCCTTTTCCATTGAGCAATACAACAACTACTACTTGTTTTCATACTTTACATGCTGATGTATGGGGTCCTTATAGAGTGCCTACTCATGATCATAAACGATATTTTCTCACAATTGTGGATGATTGTTCCAGATATACTTGGTTATTTTTGTTAAATTCCAAGTCTGAAGTAATTGTAGAGCTTCAAAATTTTCTTATTATGCCTTGGAGTTGATAACTGAGATGGGTTTAAGTGGAGCCAAACCAGTGTCTACACCTCTGGATCCTAATCTTAAGCTAACATCCATTGAGTATGATACACATGTGCAAGGATCAGGAACTACTATATCAGACAGGCCCTTAAAGGATGTTGGCAGATACCAAAGATTAGTGGGAAGGTTGTTATACTTAACTATGACCAGAGTTGATATCTCCTTTGCAGTACAGACATTAAGTCAATTTATGCATGCTCCTAAAGAATCCCATATGGAAGCTGCTCTAAGGGTAGTCAAATATATCAAGACAGCTCCTGGACTTGGTTTGTTTATGCCTGCTCAAAGTTCAGAACTTCTGACTGTCTATTGTGATTCAGACTGGGGTACTTGTGTACAAACAAGAAAGTCTGTAACTGGATATTTAGTAAAATTTGGAGATGCACTTATCACCTGGAAATCAAAGAAGCAAGAGACTGTTGCCAGAAGCTCTGCTGAAGCTGAGTTCAGGAGTATGGCTTCAGCAGTTGCAGAAATAACTTGGCTAATTGGAGTGTACAAGGAACTAGGGGTGACTATCAAACAACCAGTGGATCTATTTCTGTGACAGCAAGGCTGTAATACAAATTGCAGCCAATCCCATTTTTCATGAAAGAACTAAACACTTCGATATTGATTGTTACTTTGTCAGAGAAAAACTAACTCAGGATATGATTAAGACTCATCATGTATCCACCAGAGATCAGTTAGCAGATCTTCTTACAAAAGGGTTATGGAAGGCTCCTCATCTGCACTTAATGACCAAGCTGAGTTTAAAAGACATCTTTCAGCCAACAGCTTGAGGAGGGGTGTTGAGCATAGTGAGACTGAGGAGCTGTTATATGAGTTAGTTAGGATGAACAGTAAATGTCATGAAATTAGTTAGCTGTTAGTTACTAGTTAAACTGTTTAGTTTATAATTAACTAGACTAGATGGTTAAAGTAGATCCAATTATACACACTATATATAGTGGTGTAGATATTTTGTAAAGAATAATTTTGTATAGAATATTCAATACATTTTCAGTTTCTCTTCTTCTTCATAACTGCTCTTCACATTGTTATCAATTACCATGAGCATAGTCTCATCGGTCCAACAAGATCACCTGAACCAAATGGTTCTTTTACAACACAAACATGGCAAATGAATTTTCACCAATATTCATGTCTATACAAATAGTTGTATTTTAGTAGACACTTTTTTTCAAAACAAAAATTATATTTTAAGTGACACTTTTTTCATAAAAGAACGTAAATCTTTTGAACAAAGTATATATTTAATTTGGTGGTTTCATACTAGTAAAAGAGAAATTCAACGACCACAGTATCAAAAATACTTCAAAAATATTGTGTTTGACATAATACAAGAATGCCACTGAATTTCATATCTTGTACTTCCAAATTCAAATTAGACACTATGTATAATTTTATCATTATCACAAGCAAAGAACCCCCACATTTCAAATATGATCTCAAAAATATTTTTCAAGTATTTGAAAATAATTTTTCACTTAATTTTTTTTCATGCTTTCAAATTGTGTATCATCAAAAATACACATTGGGGAAATGAAGCCTCTTTTGGAGAATGGTTAGTGTTTCAGTCCCTTTGACAATCGATACAAAATGTTAAACGTTAATGCATAGAAACACTCACTATAGACACAAAATCACTGACTTTATGTCAATAGCTTCTTTTTTTCCTTCTATCTAAATTAGACAAATACTTAATGTTTAGAATACTAACAATAAAGACTTAATTTTGATTCAAGTTATTTCTAGTTAACGATGAAATTGAGTGTTTAATAAATTGGTGAAGTTTTTATATTCTTCGAACTAGATGTACAATCTAATTTATTTGGTGAAGTTTTTATGTACTTCAAAACAAAGGAGTAGAAAATAGAAGATTTTAGTCTCCAAAAATCAGACAATCAAATTTTATAAGGAGCAGAAAATTACACAAGTTTTAGTCTCTTGATTAAAAAATAATATTAGAAAATGTCCTTGAACATCTTTAAAATGGCAATTCACACTTCTTAAAGTGTGCCCCATTTAGTTAGCTGCCAAGTTGCAGAAAATGAAATCTCATTATTGAGGCCAGCTTATTCATTTGAATTTGCAACCCAACTTATTTGTTCTCTTCTTTCTCTACCACACTCAATAAGCTAAAGCATTAGAGATTGCAAATAATCAAACCAATAGCATATTAAAGTAGTATTTTTCACTCCAAAGTTTTTTTTGATCGTATGATAAAATGATTTTCTTTCTCATTTTTTTCCTCCAACAAAGTAGAACACAAAAAATACCAACAATATAACAATTTTCTTAAGATTGTTGTTAATTTGTATTACTAAGATACTTGGAATAAAATTTTGCAAAACTTCATACCGAACAACAAAGTTTAACGTATATTTTTAAAACCATAAAATTAAAACAAATAAATAAAATATAATCTGCAATAAACCAGAAACAATATTGAAAAGAAGAAAATCGAGATCATAGGATGAACATTGTGTCCTAAAATCACAGTGTCACCAAATCACTCAACGGCAGGTTACAACCTTACGGAAAAGTTGCAACTTTTCATAATAGTCACAGCTCTTTAGAAAAGTCACAATTCTTCATAAAAGTCACTACTCTTCAGCAAAGTCACAACTCTTCATTAAAGTCACAACATTTCATTCACGTCTTTTAAACCCAACAGTAATGCTGGGAAACAAGAATCTTGAAGGCAAGAAATTCATAGAGAAGGGGATGCAAGAAAAACAAAGGTAATTGAAGATCAAGAAGACAACAGTAATATTAAGAAGTTAAGAAGTGGTTCTCTTCACATCAATAACTGCAAGCTAACTAAGTCACTCCATTTCGATTATGTTAATTTTCCAATGATCAATTAAAGACCGTGTTACGTTTTATAATGAATAAATATAATGGTGCATGCTTTTTGGTACATTATAATTTCCACAGGTGGATCCATCAAGAATGTATGTCAAATGAACTACAGATATACTGAATGCAAAGAATGATCAAGTCACCAATTCTATATATATGTTATTCAATAAAAACGTACTTCTTGTTTGATTCTTGACAATGATTTATTGTTCTGTTATTCATGCTGAGGCGAAACTGGTCAGAGAAGTGTTGATATACAAGAAATCTGACCTTACCAGTAGTGCCAATGGCTTACAGCTCTCGTTGAAGCAAAAGATGTAATTTTAGTTGACCATCAAGGACAAGAATGGAACATGTTACTTGTGCGTCAAAATGAAGAAGTCTATTTTCTTAAAGGACATTGGTACAACTATGCGGATGTATACAATTTAGCTGTTTCAGATACCATAGTTATTGAGAGGATTATGAAGCAGCAAGTGAAAGAAGATTTGGATTTTGCTGCAGTGAGTGAGATAGGTGTTCACGACTGGGACACTATCTTTCCTCCCAATTCAACATGGCAGATTGAACAAGTTAATAATATTAATGCAGAGAGCAAACTGAAATTAAAGATATTGGCAAAGTTGAAGTAGCTGTAAATACTGAGTATGTTATACTATAATTAGTTTTGAGTAGTGTTGCATGATAAATGTATAGACAACACTCAAATGAATAAGTTTTATAAGAGAAATCCACATGAATTTTGATTTTAGAACTTCACTTTGCTCCCTCGATTTACTTCTTTTGTCACAATTGGCTAAATAAATTGTTATGAGTTAGGTCCATGCAAAACTTAGTATATAGCGTAACATAATGTTATGCTAGCGGGGAAAATTAGTGTTACGATCGCTATTTCCATATGAGGATTCACCCTTTGCTTCTTCTTCACCAGCATAGGATATAGGTAAGAGGAATTTGGTTCACAACAGCATGCAGGGCTGAGCGGAATGAGAATGATAATCTGGAGAAGACATGATCGTAATACAAGAAATCGAAGTCAAAAGGGATTCCTAGGCTAGATTTTGTGGTGAGAAAACAAGAGGGAACTGACTGAGGCAAACCAGCCTTAGTTAAGTGAGCTCCTGCAGAATTATAACCTAAGGCCATACTTGCAGCAAATAATACACAGTAAATCAGTAATCACTTAACTTGTGTGCTCCTCGCTCGTGTTTAATGATAACAGACAAAATAGAAGCCATAAAGATATACTACTAGTGGGACAAGGCCAAGCTACAAGATATGACAACAGTAGCATCAAGACTAGTTTTGTTAGGCCAATTGTATCGTACAGCTCGATATCCATTAGCTTCATCACTTAGATTTCGATCAAAATAATAAGAATTACATGTCTAATAGTTAGTACTAACTGTTTTACTCTCTAATCAACCCAAGAACCTTATATGTCCATATATAGGCATTGCCATATGCGACTAGTTAAAAATAACTAAAAAGAAAGCATTAGCAATGAACATTTTAAGAAAGGATCGGATGAGTTTCTCCCAGTTAAGCTATTGAAAGAATATAGAAACTAGTGGACATTGCTATAGAATATTCTAACATGTAAACAAACTGTTAATGAATATCTAAACAAAATGCATGAAACTACTTAGAGAGTTTGATGGCTAATCCCAATGGATGAATGTATTACAATGATCAAGTCCAATCCTGTGTAAGCGACAGACTAGTATCAATCAATCCATCATCAGAGCCAGTAAGCATCATCACTACCATAATCTGTTTTCATCACAATGAAGTCCAATCCTACGTAAGCCATAAGTACCCTTGCTAACTGTTTTTATTATCGACAGTAGTTGAAGCAGGTGCTGAACTATTATCGACAGCAGTAGAAGCGGGTGCTGAACTAGTCTCCGCGGTCGTGCCTAGTAGTTTCGGTTTCTTTTGGGGTTGATTAGTGGCTCTAGTCTGATAAGTGATTTCATAGTGATAGGAGATGTTGACAAGCTGAACCTCTGCAGTTGGATCCAGAATTACCTTGTTAACAAAGATAGTAGTTTCGTCGAAAATGAACAAGTTGTGTTGAGCCACATATTCCTCCCATTCTCTTCCTCTAATATGGTACTCCTCTTGATCAGCATGCAACAGTTGCACTGTAAATGACTTCTTTTGAATTGGATCATGTAGAGGTAGAATTATTTCTTCTCCTACTTGAAGAATAAGATGTTGATCAAGATTCCCTTCCACTTCTTTCTTCGATAATCGTAAGCATTTGGAATCTTTAGCACATAAATTCTTGACAAGCACTTGTACTCTCTCAATTGATTCACTGCAAAGAAAGAAAAATAACAGTTATGACTAAAACAGGGAATTGAATTGAATCGAATTGAATTGAAGAACATACTTAGGGAGTTGCAGATCCAATTCCTCTGGTTTAGGCGTTTTACAAGAGTAGATTAGATAGGAATCATTTTTCTTAGAAAAATATATAAAATCTCCAGATTCCAACTTGTGTTGATTCTGAAATCTGTCCCACCCTGTTCTAATATAGTAGTAATCTCCATAATTAGAGTGTACAACTTCCATCATGAACTTGTTCCCACCAAAATCTTCGAATTCTAATATCATGGATTTGCCTGATGCAAGAGGAGGTAAATGTTGTTGGGCAAACTTGTTTGGAATCGA